CGGGCAGGGTCCCATTGGTCCTGGCGCAGGGAGTGGTGGCGGCGGTGGCCGCGGCTGGGCAGTTTTGCATGGCATGGCCCTGCCTTGCTGTCCCACTAGTGGGCAGAGCGCTGCACAGCCGGGCCGGTGCCGTGCAGCTACTCTTCCTGGGGGACTCGGGGATGCTTCTCGGACCCTCCAGCTTTGGCAGCATGCAGCCTCCAACCCTCACGGTTGATAGCAGCAACAGCAAAGGATTGTAATTTGTAATGCAGGTGTGGTAGATGCTCTGTGACAGCTAAAATCACAGTATTAGCCTCTGGCAGAATGCCAGAAAAAAAATCCTTCCCCCCATCATCACCTCCGAGCCCCTCTTGGGTATGATCTCATCCCCTCCCAGGCTCGGAGAGGGGACAGTGTAGGGGCTGGGGGCTTTCTGGCGCCCCCCTTAGCCTGCCTGACACCCTATCGAGCATCTCTCGCCATTCTTATCCCAGTCACCCCCTACTTAACCCCGCAGGAATCCCCTCGGCTGGCGTGGCTCAGCCCCAGGGCCCCAGCCAAGGCCACAGCGGCCAGAGGAGGCTGAGCAAAGGGGGTGCCCTGCAGCAAAGGAGGTGCTGCGAGCCAGCGGCTCTGGGCTGCTGGCAGGGATGGGGGTGGCAGCATGGTGAAGGACGTACAGGAATGTCATTACCCAGAGCCTGGGCTCTTTCAGTAGGAAGTGGAAAGCTGGGCTGGGGAATTGGTTTCCATTAGGGCAGCAAATGGCTAATTTGGCCACTGCGACTGCTGCACACCAAGAGGCTGTTAACCTGCTGCTCCCCAGTGTGGGCTGAGACTGCAACTGCAACTGCTTCTGTGGGTCTCTCCCTGGCCCCCTGCCTGGCTAGTGCTGTCCCAGCCACGGCTCGCACCACGGCTGCTCTGCTTGCCTAAAGGCTGGCCGCGGTGCAAGCTTTGCTCCTTGCCAGGGCCTGTGGAGGAGGAAGCCCTGGGCTGCTACTGCATGATGGAGATGCAGGTCTGTGAGCACCTCCCCACCCCCAGATGCAGAGCTGGGGGCTTTCCTTCCCTCCACCACGGCTGGCGTGGATGTGTTTCTCGAGAAACATGCCTTCATCTGCCCTGGCTGTCCCTGCTGAAGCTTGCGGCTGTGAGCCACGAACGCTCCTGCCTACCTCGCCACTGCCAGCGTAGGACAGGCTTTCCGAGGGAGGGGAGCACCTTGATCTGTCCCTGAGGTGTGGGCTGCCACAAGCCCTGGCACGAGGCTGCTGTGCTGCTCACTGGCACGCAGGGCTGGCTCTCTTTTTACCCTTGATGGGGAAGGCTGTGCTGCAATGCAAGGGAGAAGCTGGCTGCTTTATGGCTTGATCCAGGCACCTGAACACAAGGGATGCAGGTTCAGCACGTGCTAACACATGGCATCAATCCTGCCAGAAGCCTCTACAGCCTCCCCAGCAGGGTGGAGGAGAAGGGTGGCTGCTCTTTGGCACATTGAGCCACGTTGGAGCATGCGCTCCATGCTAGATGCTGCAGGAAGCAGAGGGACTCCAGACTCGGTGCAGTGCCTGCTGCACAGGCAGGCTCTGTGGGCAGCATGATGGGGCAAAGGGGGGGGGGGCCTGACCCTATCTGTTTGCAGGGCTGAGCGTGCGACGGCCGTGCTGCTGGCGGACCCCTGCTTCCAGCTGCGCTCCATCCCACAGAGAAGCGCCATTTCTCCCTTCACACCTGTAAGTGCTTACCCCTTTCCCCCCCCCCCCCCCAAACTGGGATGAGAGGAAGGAGCCTGAGCCATCCTGGGGCTGCTGGTGTGCATGGGTGCCCTGCAACCCAGCCCCAGCTCAGCCCAGAGGACAGCAGACGGACAGGCCTGCAGCTCTTTTATCTTCCCTGCTGTCCCCCAGCTGGCACTTAGGCCAGCAGGGCTGGGGCTGCATCCAGACGCTGACCCAATGCTGGGTCAGTGTCCTCTTTTGTTGGCAGTTTTGTCCCCTAGACATATCCCTGCACAAGGTCTTTTGGAGCAGGTGTGTGCCCAAATGCAGGGCACCCTGTCCCCAGGGCTAGGATCTCTATCCCCAAAAATTGGGATCGCTGCACTAGCTGGCTCCTGAGGGCATCCCATTTCCTCCTGCCCCGTGCAGTGCCTAGTGGCCTAGGGGCAGCCCAAAGGACACCTTCGCATGCACCCTCCCCCACTGGTTTGTCTCCACAGACATGGATTACATCAGTGCCGAGGAGCTGGCGAAGGTGGACAAGATGCTGAGCCACCTGAGCGAAGAGTCTAAGCAGGCAGCTGCTACCACCCTAGTGAGTCCCCCCAGTATGCATGAGCCTTTCTGCACACAGCCCAGCCCCAAGCCAGGCCTGCGCACAGGGCTGCTGTGCAGAATCCCCTTCCCAGCTCTCCAGCCCCGGTTCTTGCAGCCCATGCTCCCCACCCCAGCTGAGACAAGCCATCCGGGCAGCTCTGCTCTGTTGTGTCCTGCCTTTCAGAGCTGCTCCCAGGTGGAGCTGCCAGGCAGCTCTGGGGTGCGCAGTTTGTTTTGCTACCTGCTAACCACCTGGCACTTCCCCGCAGCCCACCAGTGAGGAAGACCTGTGCCCCATCTGTTATGCACACCCCATCTCGGCCATCTTCAGACCCTGCTCCCACAAGTCATGCAAGTGAGTAGAGCCTGTGTACACTGTGGCCTGGGGCTCTGTTCAGCCCCCTCAGGGCATCTTCCAGCCTCTGGCTCACCATGTGTTTCAGGAAAAGCTCACACTGTTTTTTACCCTCTGTCCCAGAGCCTGCATCAACCAGCACCTGATGAACAACAAGGACTGCTTCTTCTGCAAGGCCACCATCACGGGGGTGGATGATTTCACCAAGCCATCCAGCTCGTAGCACCCAGCCCCAGACCATGGGCTCCCCTGGCTAAGCAGAGTGCCCTGTACTGCTGCACGCCAGCTTCTCCCCAAAAGCTCCCACTGCCCTGGGGTCACGGCCCCCTCACCCACCCAGGCTGCCCCCGCTCACTCAGACTGCAGGCAGTTGGCTGTTGCCCTCTGGCTGAAAGGCCAGGAGCGAGCATGGTGCTGGGGCAGAGGGACTGGAGGAAGGGAGAGGCTGGTTCAGGGGAGGCCTGATGCGAGGCTGTGGGTCCAGCATCCCCCCTCACCCAAAGCTGAGAGAGCACAAGGCCTCATCTCCCCAGCAGCACTGGGGGCAGGTGCAGCAGCACCATGAACCACATGTGGCAAAAAAAATAGGCCTGGACTCACTCAGCCCCAGGTTGAGCACGGGGCCATGGCAGGTGCAGGAAAGGCTGTGCGTTTGTGCTGTGTTCAACTCGCCCCTGGATGGGGTCTGACTTCATGAAACGGAGCATTAAATTATTCTTCCTTACATCGTGCCCTGAGTCATGAGAAGGGGGAAGCTGGGCCACATGTGGCGAGTAGCCCTGGCCCTTGCGCCCTGCTTAGACGATGCTCAGAGGTAGAAGGAAATATAAATATTTAATCCAACCAGAGCTAGTAGCTGAGGGCTGCTACATGATGATGCGCGGCTCTGGCACAGACTCAGCAATGGACTTGTGCGGCAGCACGTTAGCCCCATTGAGGTAGAGCTCATCATTCACGATGACGTCCTCACCCAGGACTGTCACATTCTCCATGCGAACCTGCTCAAGAAAGGCCTTGTCACGCTTGTACGTGGCACAGAGCGTGGGTGCCATGGGCCCAGTCACATCTGTAGGTGCATGGCCCTGGCAGCCTGCAGCCTGGGGTGGTGGGAGGGAGGCGGGAGGTTAAAAAGCTGAGCTCTGCTCCCTTGTGAGGGCACTGCAGCACTCATATACTTACCCACTGCCCCACGGAACAGCTCCAGCCCACAATGCAGGATTCCAGCCAGGAATGGGAGCGGATCCGGGCCCCCTTCAGCACTGTGCAGCGCTTGATGCGCACGCCATCCTCCACCACCACGCCAGCCCCAATGGTCACATTGGGGCCGATGATGCAATTTGCCCCAATCTTGGCGCTGGGGTCCTGGAAGGAAGAGGAGATGTGCTAAGGCCAGGCTCACAGCTAGGGTGCTCTGCTCAAGCCCAGCACCGTTCAGTGTGTGCTGCCTTGACATCAGTGTGTGCCAAAGCCTTAGGGACAGGCACAGGAGGACACAGCTTAAGGGTTGCAGTAAGGATGGTGGCAGTCACCTGGCCCTCCTGGAAGGGACAGGGAGAGTCCACAAAATGTGGCCTAGGGCCAGCAGTGGGCAAGCACTTACCACCAGCACATTCCCTATGATACCAGGCCCCGAATGCAGCCTTTCAGGGTGCTGGGCCCGTAGTGCCTGCAGGTACATGCACATTCCTGTGAGGAAGTCCTTTGGCTGCCCAATGTCCATCCAGAAGCCTGCAGGGACAAGGTAACGATGATAGCCTCCAGCTCAGGGGGAGCAGTGCAGGCAGGACCCCCCTGTGCAGCCCGTGCCACGGGCAGGGCCTTACCCTGCAGCTCCATAGCGTAGAGCTGCCCCTCCTGTGCCATGGCTGGGAAGATCTCCTTCTCAATGGAGGTGGGCCGCAGCTGGGGGAACATTTTGCAGGGCTGAGCTGGGGACGCAGCTCCGGCGCTACGGCCCAGCCTGGCCCCCAGCCCCTACCTGGATGCGGCGCAGGATACCAGGACTGAAGATGTAGAGGCCAGCATTGATCTTGTTGGACACGAAGACGCGTGGCTTCTCCACAAAGCGGCAGATGCGACCGGTCTCTGCCTCGCTCACCACCACACCGTACTTGGCCGGCTCCTCCACGCGGGTCACAACCAGTGAGCCTTCACCGCCGTGGTGCCGGTGGAAACGGGCCAGCGCCACGAAGGGGAACTCGCAGATCACGTCGCTGTTGAGGACAAAGAAGGGCTCCCCGCCCTCGGCCAGCAGGTCCCGCGCCAGTGCGAGCGGCCCCGCTACCGTGGCCCGTGAGTGACGCCTCACGGCCCGGGGTCGGCCTCGGTCTGGGGTCCTGCTGCTGCCACCAGCGCCAGTGTCCCTGCTCCCCCATCGGGCCTACCTGTGCCCATCACAATGGCCCCAGTCCCTCCAGTGCCCATCCCAGTCCCCAAGCCCAGCCCAGCTCTGCTGCCTCTGAACCTGTCTGCTTGCCCAGTGTCCCCATGGCCCTCCCCGTCCTTCCCGGTGCACCCAGCCTGGCCCGGCCCCGGCCCCGGCCCCAGCCCGCAGCCCTCCCTACGTTTCCCGCGGTCGGCCCGTGTG